AGCACACAGAGGTAAATCGTTTGAAAGTCAGCCACAAGAATAATTCCTCCATGCCTGTACTCATGTCCCTTCGTAATGCGACTGAAAGATGGAGTCCATCTCTCCACCCCTTGAATCTAACTTGGCCATGTTGCTTGGGCTATTGGAACATTTGTAATCATGCCACAAGCAGAATTCAAAATGCATTGTGCATTTTTGTTTGTCCTTTCTTGCTGAACGTGGAACCCTAAGATCGTCATGTGAGTGAGCCCAAGCTAGCCTCACCAGAGTGAACTCAGGCACTCCAGCAAACAGCCTGCCAACTGCTAGGCACATGAGGGAGACCCCCCAAGACCCCCAGCCCCAGCTGACTGCACTTACATGAGTGAGCTTCGGGAAGACCCAAAGATCTGCCAGCCCAGCCCAGGGCAGATTGCTGATTCGCACAGGCTGGTAAGTTGTTTTAGGCCGCTGGGTTCAGGGTGACTCGTCACGCAGCAAAGCCTAGCTGAAACACATACCCGCTGGGCACACGCTCTGCTGGCAACACACAAACACAAGCACAAAGATGTGCCCAAATGGCCTTCCACTGAAAACCATCACACAGACGTTCACATGACCTTTACAGGCTACATACACACCCAGCCACCCCCCAACCCAAACACCCCTTTATTTAGACCGCCCTCCTGGCTGCTCACCTGTCAACATAAATGCCAGCCTGGGAATGGGTGAGTCAACGTTGTCCAAGCTCTATATTCCTGACACCACCCAGCCCAGGGCTGCGCATGGAAAAGGCACCCAAGAGACTTTTGTCAAATGAATGGATGAATAAAGTGAACGGCACAGAATGAGCCAGAGCTTGGCACCAGTAGGCACACAAGAGAAGACCAGCCAGGATGGGGTGGGGACAGGGCCTGGGAGCCTGCCTGTGGCAGGCACTGCCGTGTGTGGTTGGGAACTGGCCTCTGGAACCCAAGGGCAAGGGTTTGAACACTGCAGCTTCCTAGCTGTGTGAGCCTGGCCTTGGACTCTCTTGCCCTTTGTTTCCCCAACTATGCAATTGGGATGAAAACATTAAATCCTCCCCAAAAGGTCTTTGGGAAGATTTAGTGGGATGATACGTGGAAGTTTTCTACGTAGGCCTTGGCACATGGTGGCCGCTGTTTATTCCCCTTACCCATCAGGAGCTCCTCCCATGGCACCTCCTCTGGGAAGCCCCCTCCCACCTCCCGTTGCTCCCCTGCCATCCACAGCCCCCTCTGTCCCACAGCCCTCATGAGACCCTTGAGGGATGGCAGCTCATTGCTACATACCCAGCACCCAGAACACAGCCCCAGACCACATGTTTAGGGAGTGATTGCAGAATGACTAAACGATCCCCATTTTACATATGAGTAAATCTGGCCTCCCCAAGGGCCTGAGATCCCCAGAGGAGCTCAGGGGTTCCCAGGTAAATGAAGCCTGGGAGTGGAGCTTCAGTTGTTTCCCCTCTTAGAGCCCCACGCGGACAGGAACATCACCTGTCTGGCTACTTTCCTGCTCAGGGCCCGGTACAGGTCCTGGCGCACAGTGGGTGCTCACAGATGCTTACCTTGCAGGTTGGACTTGAGATTCCATTTTTACAGTTGACTCCAATTCTTAAAGGTGGGGGGTGAGGGGAGCCTTGTTAAAAAGCACTTGAAGGGTTTCAGGAAGGAAATTGAAAACAATAAATTATCTGCTATGTGTAATGTAAGTACAGGGAAAGTGAGGGTGTCAGAGAATTAAGGATGGGTTAAGAGGATACTAAGCAAATGAAAAAAGCAAAAAGCAGGTAGTAACTCCGGGAAGAACAAAGAGTTAACACAAGAAAGGAAATATAAGCAAAATATGTGCCTTGGCTTATCAGGAAATGGTCATATAGTCATCATATAAATAACACTGAAGATTCACTTACAAATTGTGACAGATGTAGATTGAAAGGAGGAAGGATGAGTAAAAGCTAAGTCTTCCTTGATAATAATGATAAGAAGAAACAGTTATGACCATTCACCGGGTGATATACATTATTCTGGGCACTTTAGATCTTTGATACTCAGAACCATCCAGTAACCTAAATACTCTTATTACTCTCATTTTACAAATGAGAAAACTGAGGCACAAGGAGGTTAAGTCACTTGCCCGAGGTCATCTGGCCAGTAAGGGGAAGGGCAGGGATCCAAAGCCAGAAAATCAGTTCACAATCTCTAAAATTAATCAGGAAAACAGCAGGAAAAGCAAGGTATTTTAAAATATGGAGGAAAGTGCCAGAAGAAATAGTTTAAAAAGTTGAAAGTGGTGGCTTTCTGGGAGCAAGGCAGAGGCGGGGAATGAGAGGGGAAAGGAATAGTTTTTATTAGTGCTACCGGGTACTGAATTTATATATAACAGTTACATAGACATGTCCATGAAGGGGACAGGAATTGGGGACTAGGCAGAAGGGGCAGGAATTGAAGGGGAGGGACACAGGGGAATTGTTCATGGTGATGGCGCTGTTCTATATCCTGATTGGGGTTTGGGGTGCAGTATGAATTTGTCTAAACTCAGCCAATGGTACCTTTAAGATCTGTGTATTTCACTGTGTGTAAATTTTGCCTCCAGAAAAATAACTGTAAATAAATATTGAATTCTAGCTAATGACCTGCATGCTAAAGTTCTTTAAGGGAAGTTTACTGATGTTTGCAACTAACTTTGAAAATCTTCTTAAACAGGCCCCTGCAGCTACATTCCATCCTCTGCCAAAAGGGTAAACTGAGGTCAGAGGAAGTGCCTTTCCCAGGGCCCATCACACCTCATGACAGAAGTGAGCAGCCAGGTTGCCTGGCTCCCAAACCCAGGTGTATATAATTAGCTGGTGGGAAATGGATCAAGGAGCAGATCCCATCTCTGCCTAATTAGGAGCCAGGCAGCTGGGGCCAGGCTGGCCCGGGGAGCCCCGGGAGCCGGGGCAGCAGCTGCAGGCCCTCAGAAGGGCTAAAAAGCAGCGGCTGCTGCTCGCTACAGCTCACACTCCAACTGGAGGCAGAACAATAGAGGGGCTGTTTCAGCAGATCCCCGAGTTGGCAGGGTGGGAGCTGGCAGGGTAGGAGCAAGAGGGGGCGTGGCGAAAGCCCCCAGCCTGCTCCCTCCACAGATCCCTCCCAAGACCAAGTGGCACCTGTTAGGAAAGTTAGGGCTCATTCTGGCACCTTCCCCACTTCCAAGGTGCCGCCCTGCCCTCTTCCCAGCAGACCTGCCCGATGCCCTTTTCGGTTGTCTCCTGGGGACAGCTCTGATCTCAGAACAGAAGTCCCTGAATGTACCTACTTTACACTCTGTGACCATGTATATGCTTGCTGCGTAGTTGCCTGTTCTGTGTCCCCAGACTATGGCAGGGACAATATCTGTCTTACCCACTGCTGGGTACCCAGTAGGTGTTGAATAATAAAACGACTAGAAGCAAAGGCTGCCAAGATGAGGAAGAGAGGTGGGGTGGGGGTGTTGGGGGAATCAGGGATCTGGAATGCGCTGACTGGGAGGGGAGGGTGGCAGGCCAGGCTGTGACCTCGGGCTGTCTTGCAGACCTGCTGTGTGACAGCCCACAAGTCCCTACACCTCCCTGAGCTCAACATCCCACTCTGACAATATACCTGACCCTTGAAAAGCTACTTTGAGGATTCAGTGAGAGGATGAGCCCAGCACTGAAACCTCCTCCAGGAACAAGGGGTCACCCAGGAGTCCTGTGACCTGAACTTCAGTTTCTTTACATGTAAAATGCAGTCAGTCTATCCACTTTGTTTGGCTGCTGGGGGACTGTCAGGTCACAGCAAGGGGCAATGACTTGCACAGAACTCCAGCAGGGTTGCCTGAATGAGCTAGTCTTTGACACCTTCTAGGGGCACCAGCTCTGCAGAGCCTGCCTGGATTAGCACACACACACACAGCATCCCTGGCTTGCTCCTGCATTGTCAACATGTCACCGCCCTACTCACACTTCAGCTTCCCCATCTGTGTCAGGAGGAGTAGACTTCAACACCATCCTCTTCTATAATCCAATTTCGCCTTCTTTCCCCAAACTGCCTAGGCCCACCGCAGGGCCCTGGGGGCTAATTGTGCACAGACAGACAGACAGACAGCTGGGCTGACCTGGATGTTTGTCAACAGCCCAACGGAAATCTCCTCTTTATGCTTAAAATAAAACCTACATCAAACCTGTCACCAGGGCCCCCATTAGAGCTTCCTGTTTCTGAGTGTCTCAGCCAAGGCAGCCTGCAAGAGAGGAAGTACCACCCAGACCCTCCCCACTCCCACCGTGGGGGGTGGGAGAGGCCACCCCAGGCTTTCGCCCTTTGTGTGCCCAGCTGGGGCCCTGGTGGGAAGGTGGAAGGAACTGAGACCTCAAAGCCCAGTGCCAGCCCCTCCCTCTTTCCCCAGCTATTGCAGTATAGCAGGAAGGGACCAGGTAACCACAGTGCCCCATCCCAAGGAGGGCTGTGCTGCCTAACTCTCCCACTGAGGCCCAGGAGGGAGACTGGCTTGTCCAGGATCACCAAGAGTTGGAAGCAAGGCCATTCATTTTCTGCCATCCAGCCCAAGTCCCTCTTCCTCCAAGAACTCCCACTTCCCGTCCCCACTCTATGGGCTATGTGACCTCGAGTTCAGGGTTTGCCTTCTCTAATCTTCTTTCCCTTTGAGAACTGGGCAGGGGATGGGGGGAGGATCCAAGCACCCCAGTCAGTCCTTCCCCTGGAGGTCCCCTTGCTGGTGCAGGGGAAAGATCCAAGCCTAGTCCCAGCTTTACACCAACTCACTCTGCAGCTGTTTCCTCCTCTATGAAGGAGGCCTGCCAGCCTCCCAGGGGAGTTAGGAGCACACCCTCCCCCTGTGGGGCCCGTCTAAGGCCAGGCCAGTTGCTGACCTCCCACCAGATCTTGGAGTAAAGGATTACTAACTTCTGAAGGCCACACTCCAAGACTTCTCACACCCCTTCCCCTGCAAACAAGAAGAGTCTGAAGGCCCAGCCCTTGAGAAACAAGCACTCGTGTTTATTAACCAAGAGAAAGGCAGTCAGAGCAGTGAAGACTCCTAACCAGTCCCTCCTGTAGTCTACCTACCTAGACCAGCTGCCAAGGACCAGGAAAAACAGTAGATAAGCCCCCTCCTCCCTGCCCCCACCCCAGGGTACATTCCTGGGAACCAAGACCCACTGGGTAAGGAAGAGGAAGTCAGCAAAGGACAGAGGCTAAGGAAGGAAAGAGGAAACAGAGTCACTGGCGAGACAGGCTTGGTGAGATGCGTTGGCCCCTCAGTATCGGTAGGGAGGGTGAAGCACCCCAAATGCAGCCCACAAGAGGAGCCAAGCAGGGGTACGTACACTCATGTCAAAAACCTTGTATGTGGGGGTGGGGGTGGGGTTCAAAGTCAAGAGCAATTCTCTCCAGGGTCAGTCCTTGCCAGAGGATGCTGGTCCAGCCTGTAAGCCTCCGCGTCTACACCAAGTTCACAACGGGAACAGCCTCCGTCTGCCCAGATCCAGGGAATGGATGCAAGAGAGGTCGCGGGGCCGACTGCCTCCCTAGATCTGTGCTGCGGCGAAGTCCAAGTCCAGCGAAGGCCTAGCCCTCCGCGGCTGGGGTCTCCCGTGCCTGCCGTAACCCATACAGCCACTTAATGACGCGGGCGTTGCGCTCTACCACCGACACGCCGTAGGGGACGCGCTCGCGGGCCCGCTCCTCCACAGTAGCGGAGCTGCGGCGGGAGCAGCCTCCCTCCGAGCTGCCCGGCCCAGCACTGGGCCCGGCCAGGGACACGATGTCCGAGCTGGCCCGTGCCAGGTGGGCCACACCCAGTCCCCGTGCCTCCTCTGGGTCCAGGCCGCAGAAGTTAAAAAAGCGCTCAAGGTCGGCTGCTGCCCTGGAGAAGCGCTCGCTCAAGTCTGACTTGGAGCGTTGCAAACCCGGTGGCCGGGCCGGGCTGGAGGCGGCAGCAGCGCCCGGTGACGGGCAGGGCCGGGCAGGTGAGGCAGGCAAGGGGCGGACGTCCACTCGGCGGACCGCAGCCGTAGCAGGCGGCGGGCGAGGAGGGGTGGCTGGGGGTGCCTGGCGAGTTCCCTCTGCCCGTCCAGGAGTACGGCTGGCCTCGGCAGGGGACACGGGGCTATCACACAAGTTGATGAGGCTGCTAAGAATGTCCAGGTCCAGCTGGGGCCGGCGGCCGGGGCCAGGCAGGGCTCGGCGGCTGGGCGTGAGCACTGTACGGCGAGACCCGGGGCTAAAGAGCGGCTGTTTGGACAGCAGGGGCTGCACAGGTTCCTGGCGGGTGTTAGCCACATGCAGGCTCTTGACGTACTTGGCCTTGTCGGCCTCCAGGCGCTCCACAGCACTCGGTTTGCGGGCTCCACCGTCCGCTGGCCTCCGTAGCAGGTAGCCGGGGACCTTGGTGCGCAGGCGGAAAGGTAGGGCGGGGGCGGCGGGGGCTCCGGGGCTCAGCGTGTCCACAGGCATGGCTGTTACATACCCCGAGGACTTCGGCCTGAGGAGACCGGGGAAATGAGGAGACAGAGGTCCAGGCAGCAAGCTGGCAGCTGGACGCCCGCAACGGCTGCAGTGAAGGAAAGAAAAGAGCGGCTGAGCGCGCTCAGACAAAGGCTCCGCCAGGGCTGAGCCAGGCGAAGACGCCTTCCCCATTATAAGGTGGAGACCACGCCCCTGCTTCACTGAGAGCCAATCAGCAGGAGAAAGCCGCAGCAGAAGGGCCCGGCCCCACCCACACCCCTTCCCTCCTACCCCGGGGACCAGACCCAGCTGAGGCAGAAGGAGAAAAGAAGTGCTAGAGAAGAAAGACCTGGGCGGCCTGAGCAGAAAAAGAGGGAAAAAAAAAAAAGGGGAGCAAAGCAGGCTCCGGGCTCTGAGCTCTGTGCAGGGCACCAGCCAGCTCAACCTGTCCTCTCAACGGCCCCATTTTTCGGATGGGGAAAGGACATCAGAGAGGACACCAACTCGCTTAAGCTAACCCAGCAAGTGGATGGTTGTGCCCCTTACTTCCAAGCAGGGAGGTGCTGGCACAGGGGTATTCTGGTTAAGTGACCAAGAGAAAGGGCTCGAGCACCACACCCCACCTGGATTGCCCACGGGAGCCTGGTACCATCTCCACCCCTCACCCACCCAGGCAGGAAGCTGTGCTGGGCCATCCACCCGCCTAGACATGCCAGGCCCCAGGCACAGGAGCAGAGCTTGTAGGGGAGGAGCAGAGAAAATCCCCACCTCCGCGCCAGTGGAGTCCAGACACCCGTCAGCTTCCAGTACGGACCTGGATGGCCCACAGTGATGGACGGATGCCTGTCAGGTGGAAACGTAAGCCCTGAGCTATGCTATTCCGAGAGAAGCCGGAAATGCCCAAGATCACACAGCTCTGCTTGGAGGCATCCAGCAGAATCCTGATCTGCCAGCAGCCATGGGATGGGCACTAATAGGCAAGAGGGCTCTGCCTGGGTGCACAAGCATCCACATGGCTGCCCAAGTGTCACGGCCTGATGCCAGGCATCAGGCCAACCCTGTCCCTGTTTCCAAGGAAGGGCTGGGGCCACAAAGAGCCATCTCCACTCTCCAGGCTCCTTAGAGGTGGGAACTTTATCATTTGTAAAATGTTCCAAATATTCTCATCTGTAAAATGGAGTGAAGGGGGTACTTAGTCTAGGTATTCCCCAAAAAGGACTTGAAGTTCAAGCCACCTAGACCTGTGCTGTCCAATTCAACGGCCACTATCTGGATGTGGCTATTCAACCTTAACATTACATTTAAATTAAACACTTACAATTCAGTTCCTGAATCACATAAGTCACATTTCAAGTTCTCAACAGCTGGCCAGTGGTCACTGTACTAGACATCACAGAATAGAGCATTTCCATCCAGGGCAGAAAGCTATATTGGACAACCCCATCTAGACATCCAGGAATCCAGGAAGGGGTGAGTCTGGATTGGGATGGACAGGATCCCTACTGTGTCCCATACATTTGATACCATCCTCTCCTATAATCTGCCACAAGCCTGTGGGTCACTGTTACCTCATTTTGCAGATGGAGAAACTGAGACTCAGAGAAGTAACTGCCCCAAGTCCCAGAATAGATAAATAAGGCACAAATTCATATGAAGCCTGCTCTGATCACACTAATTTCAATACTGCTGTTTCTCCACACAGCACTACCGATCCCCCCTCCCATTTCTTTTTTACTTATCCCCTGTTCAAGTACCATATAATCCATTCTATTATGTTTATGGTTGTTACATTCTTTGTTGTCCCCTACCCCCCTAAAATGTCAGCTCCATGAGGGCAGGGAGATTTGTCTGTTTTGTTCACTATGTATCAGTTTCAAGATATTGCTCTTGGCACACAGTAGGTATTCAATAAATATTTACTGAACTGAAATGCCTAAGGGAGCCAGATGTGAACCGGCAGACTCGGGATGAACTAGAGACAGGCACGCCCAGCCTGCTGCAGGCATATGAGCCCAAGGTGGTAGGTGTCGTGTTCTAGGAAGGTGGAAATCCAAAAGTGCATGAAAACTCTAGATTCTATTCTAGAGCATATTCAATAATAATTTTTAAAACATTGCAAGTACTGGGTAAACAAAATATGTCTGCAAACACATCTGCCCCCTCCTCCTCCTCCATCCGGACCCCCAACCACCAACCTGAGGTCCTCCATCTGGACCCCCAACCACCAACTTGAGGGCTCTGTTCTGGGAACAGAACTTTTGGGGCTGTTGGCCCAGAGCCAGGGCTGCTCCCCAGGTAGAAGGGATGGAGTAGTAGATGGGCCTGGGACAGGAAGGCTTGCCCCACTCAGAGTCCACCCCCAGGAGACCTCAGGCAGCAAGGGTCTGCCAGGAAGGGTGGCCTTACGGAGCCCTGCAGAGGCAGCCAGACTCTGCCCCACCCACGGCTGCCACCTCCCAAACCAGTCCAACTCGTTGGCGGTGGCAGTTCCCTCCCGGGCACCATTGGGGAAAGAGGGAGGAAGGAGGTCAGACGAGCAGGGCCAGGGCAGAAGCCCCAAACACGGCCCTGCTCAGTCCCCCAGTGCCTGTGGCCTGATCGGCTGCCCCCAGGGTCCCCACCAGAGGGGCCTGGACAGATGTGAGGGCCAAACCCAGCTTTGGGGCTGCTGGCCCGCCAGTCTCTGCCTCGCCCACCCACCCACGGTGTGCCTTGCGCAAGCAGCTGCGCCTCTTACCAGACTGGGTTTCCTTATCTGTGAAATGCGATTAAAAATAGACGTTCCCGAGCCTCCAGGTCACAGCAAGGATGAGAGATCAAACAGGTCGAGGACTTTCCCCAGCACCCGACTAAAAGGCAGCGCTCCATGAACCAGACTCCCTGTCTTTATTATGACTTTGGCCAACCGAGTCCGCAGACCGTCCCTCGTGCGGGGTTCTCTAAGCACACTCCAGAAGGTTCTTTCCCAGCCCTGGCCGAGCGCGGACAAAGGAGGCACATGATGGAGGCTAACCAGTGAGCTGACCTGAGCAGCCCCATGTCACAGTTAGGCGAACGGAGGTGCAGAGGCTTCTGCGAGGTGAAGTCAGGGGTCCAGTCCCCAGATGGGACTCAGTGTCCCCTCTGAGGCCTCCTCTCACCGCCCAACGCCCCACCCGCGGATTCAAACGCTGCCCGGGAACGTCCCAAACGCGCCGGCCGGGCCCTTTTCCTTAGCATCCCCGGCCCACAGCGCCCCCTCACTCCTCCCCACCCGCTCGCCCCGCGCCGCCGGAGCCGCGGAAAGGAGTGGGGGACACTCCGATCCCCAGTCTGGCGTCTGCTCTCCCTCACTTCGGGGTAATCTTGGGGACTCCCGGAGACCGAGGGGCTCCGAGCGGGCGGCGCTGTGTGCACCCGCCTCCCACCGCCCCTCTCTGTCCCGGGTTGGCCTGGCTCTCAAATGAGGGAGCTGATGGCACGACCCCCACGGTCCTGTTTAGGCCCAGAGGTGACTCTCTGCCCCGTCCCGCCATCCCGGGAGGGAGGGGTGCCCGGGCTGGCCCCTGCCCCAGCTGGCGCCCCCGCCCCAGCCCCAGCCGGCACGTACCTGGCTGTGCCCGCGCAGCCTCCGCTGACCGGCGTTCCTCCGGCTCGGCCCACCTGGGGCTCAGGTAACCGGCGTTTGCGCAACTTCCGGCGGCCGCGGGCAGGTGAACCCGCCGGCCCAGGTGTCACTGGAAAGGGGGAAGGTAAGCCAGGCAGGGGCCAGAATCCGAGCCCCGGCGCGCGGGCGGCCGGGTCCTATCCGCTCCGGGCCCACCGCGGCAAGCTCTTCCGGGAGCCGGACCCGCCCACCGCACATCTGGCGCGCGGTCCCGTGGCGGTTCGGGCAAGCGCACCCATCTTTGGGGAGGAAAAACTGATTCCGCCATCCCCCCACCCCACCCCGACTGTCACAGCGACCACCAGTTACTGTTCACTGGGCCAGACATGAGAACGTGCGTTTCTTGGATTATCCCGTTTTAATCTTCCCAACAATTCCTATTAAGTGAGCTCTATCGTTTTGCCCCCTTTCACTAATGGGAAACTGAGGCTGGGATGGGTTGCATCCCCAGCCCAAAGTCACCCTGGGAGCCTACGCAACCTCCTCCACGCCCTGATTTTACCGGGGTGGGGCTATAAGACCATCATCCCCCACAGAGGCCCACTGGGTCTGGCCCTCCACTGAGGCAAAAATGGGGGACAGGGAGAGAAGGCTCCTTCAGGCACTAATAGTAGTAACAGCACAGCAACAATAACAATTTTCATAATAAAACAGGAAAGAACTAACCTCTTCTGAGTACTTTCTTTGTACCAGGCACTATTCTAAGCTCTTTATACATGTTAACTGGCTTAATCCCCACACCTACCTGTGAGGTAGGTACTGCTATTATACCCATTTTACAGATGAGAAAACTAAGGCTCAGAGAGGTAAAGCCATTTGCCTGAAGTCACACTGCTGGTAAATGACAGGGCCACGATTTGAACCCAGGCTCAAGTCTGGGGAGGGGGAAGAAGCAGTGTTTTTAGTGGTGGGCTTTGGCCACTCACCAGATGAGCCACCAAGGGAACTCTTAAAGAATCTACAGCCTCCTTGCCTGGAGTCCAGAGGGAGAAGCCACCATAGGAAATACTCCCTGGATATGGTTCTGGGTCTCAGTTTCCTCGACTGTAAAATGGGGGCAATAATGGCAATGTTTTCCCAACAGAAATCAGATCTCATCACTGCTGTGCTTAAACCCTCCTGTGGCTCCCTTAGAATAAAATCCAAACTCCCCACTTGGCCCTCAGCCCTCCAGGGCACAGGCCTTGCCCAACTCTCCCACCTCATCTCCAACTTCTTGTCAGCTCTAGCCACAAAGCCCTCCCTTGAGGGCTGTTCCTGAACACACCAGGTCTTTTCTGCCTCAGGGCCTTTGCACCAGCTATTCTCTGCCTGGAACCCCTTCCCTCACCTCCTTCAGATCTTATCTCAAATGTCTGTCATCTTCTCCGAGAGGCCTCCCTGACCACCCTGAGAAGCTCCCACCAACTCTCCCAACCCATTTTGTTCCTTTCCAGGTGTTCATCGCATCCTGCCACTTTAGATATTCACTTATCTATCGCTTGTTTCCTATCTCCCACTGGACTGGGAGCTCCAGCACCCCCTGACACATTGTATTCCTCCAAGGACCAAACACAAGAGGAAACACTATGGACCAGGTGGCTGGACTGGAACCCAGTCCAAAGGCCAAGGCCACTTATCAAACTGTATACATTCAATACACACAGCTTTTTTGCATGTCAATCATATCTCAATAAAAAAGAAACAAACATATCTGTCTGGAATAACACAGAAGTGATCTTGTGTCCTTCTCAGAGCGTCATAGCAGGAGGCATGTGACGACAGTTTGTCCTAACCTTAGTGATCAGCCAATTCATTGGTTAGGGTAGTGGCTGCCAGACTTCTCCACTGTATAGTAATTATTAATATTTTTCCTTTGTAATGAATAAATATCTTGTGGGAAGAAAAGAGAAAAGCCAAGGTCTCTGGCACCAAGCCTCACCCGCAATCCCCAACACTGCTCCTGGCCTTTCTGGATCTGTCTCACCCTTCCTCCAACCTTGAGTCTCCCCCATTCAAGCTGGGCTCTGGCTACTTCTAGCCAAGCACTGTTCCTTCTCCAAAGACACCACGTCCAAGTCTCTGCACATGCTGGTTCTGATGCCTGCAGTGCCCTTTCCCACTCTACCCCCCTGGCCACCTCTGTAGGGTATAGCGTGGCCTCCAGAACTCGTTCAAATCCCAGCCCCACCAGTGATTAGCTAGGAGACTTTAGGTAAGATACTCAACTTCTCCATGCCTCAGTTTCCCCAGCTGTAGAATGGGATTTACAACAGTGCCTCCCTCCCAGTGTGAGGGTTGTGCATGACAAATGCCACCAAGTGTGAGCTGTGATAACCATCCATTCATTCAACAAATCCTCCAGTGCCCAGCTCCTGGGTGAGGCCTTCATCAACCCAGAATGCCTGTAGTCCCAGCTACTCGGGAGGCTGAGGCAGTAGGATCGCTTGAGCCCAGAAGATTGAGGTTGCTGTGAGCTAGGCTGACGCCATGGCACTCATTATAGTCTGGGCAACAAAGTGAGACTCTGTCTCAAAAAAAAAAAATTAGAACCTTGTGCATCATTGATGAAATGTAAAATAGTGTAGTCACTGTGAAAAACTATGGTGGTTCCTCAAAAAGTTAAACATAGGATTATCATAGGATCGTCCAGGAATTCCACTTCTGGGTATATACCCAAAAGAATTGAAAGCAAGGGCTCAAACAGATATTTGTACAACCATGTTCAGAGCAGCATTGGTCACAATAGCCAAAAACAACCTAGGTGTCCATCAAGGGATGAATAGTTAAGCAAAATGTGGTATTTACATAAAATAAAAATATTATTCAGTCTTAAAAAGAGAATTCTGACACATGCTACAACATGGATGAAACTTAAAGACATTAAGCTAAGTGAAATGAGTTGGACACAACAGGACAAACACTGTACGATTCCATTTATATGAGGTATCTTGAGAAGTCAAATTCATAGAAACAGAAAAGAATGGTGGTTACTAGGGGCTGGAGCAAGGGGAAATGGGGGAATTAATGTATATTGGGTAGAAAGTTTCAGTTTGGGAAGATGAAAACATTCTGAAGATGGCTGGTGGCGATGGTTTTGCACTAATGTGAATGCACTTAAAGCCACTGAACTATCTACCTACAAGTGGTTAAAATTGTAAATTTTATTTTATATACATTTTACCACACTCACAAAAAAAGAAAAAAAAACAGTACAAAAGCTGGAACTGGATTCACATTCCACCTCTGGGTGACCTTGTACAAATTATTAAACCTCTCCTGTGCTCAGTTTCCTTTCTGCAAGATGAAATAAAACAGCAGTAACTACCTTACATCACAGAGTTGAAGGAAATAAATGAGTTCATACTTGTAAAGTACTTAGCACATAGCAAGTGCTCAAGAGGTGTCAGTGATTTTTATCTTTGTTGAGGACATGAGAAGTGTGGTTTCTGACATTTATAATTTTCATGACATTCAGCAGTCCCCACCCGCTTCCTTCCACCTGCTTCTCTTTCCCCAGACTTGAGCAGAGACACGGAGGCCCTCACCTGCCCCTGACGAGGATCAGGAAGGCTCCAGGCAGCGGCCAGGGGGCCAGCTCCGCAGGGCAGCCCCAGCTCAATTTCAGCCCAGCTGTCCAGGTCAGAGACACCCAGCCGGGCATCCTCCAGGGCCACGCCAGGCCCTGAGCTATTTCTGGAGTCTCCCTAGACGCTTTGCCCTGGTCTGCCCAGGAGTCAGCCTTGCCCAGGGCGGCCTCAGGAAGGGAGAGGTGACAGGCTGTGGGAGGGTGTGGGTGTGGATGCCTGGGTCCACGGATATCCCCACCAACTCCATCTTCTGGGCCTCGGTTTGTACCTGAGGTTGCAAAATGGGGACAAAGGGGCTTGCAGTGGGGACTGAATGAGAGAGATGTCATATGCAAGGCCTTAGGGAAGGGCCTGGCACACAGGATGGGAAAGGAGAGGGGTGAGGCAGACCTACAGCCAAGCCCACTTCCTGTCCTAGATTGCCCTTTGCCCAGGCCTGAACTCACCATCATGGCTTCTTATCTCAGCGCAGAGATAGAAAGAAATTTGCCCAAAGTCACACAGCAAGTCAGTGACAGAGCAGTACTCCATAATTTTATATACATATATTTTACATATACATATATATATATATAATTTTCAACCAGGTGATACATGCACAATCCTCAAAATTCAAAAACTATAAAGAGAACAAAGTAAAAAAACAAAACAAAACTTCCATCCTTGTCCCCTAGTTCTCCTCTCTGCAGGTACCACTGTGACCAGACAGTTGTGTATCCTTCCAGGGAGATTTTAGGCAGATACAAGCAAGTATGAACATATATTCTTTCTCTTTTCTTACACGTATAGCATCATGCTGTGTGTACAGTTTTTATCTTGCTCTTTTTGCTCAATAATACATGACATTCTTGGTGCCATATCAATACCTAAAGAGCATCCACATCTTTTTTCACAGCTACACAGCGTGACTTCCCAGCGGCCCCTACCCATGCCACTTAGCATGTGTCCACTTTCTGCCTATTATGCACCACAGGGCAACATCACTGCACCTACACCATTTTGCCTAGAGTGGGACAGGTGGGTTGGGGGGATGCGCTTCCAGTGGTGACAGAGATGGGGGGACCATGCTCCACAGAGGCTGTCTGAGCTGACCTCCCACCAGCAGAACACACAGCAAATGGTCAGTAAATGTTAGCTTTAGTTATGTTATCTTTAATACTGAGGTTTTGGGCACCCCAGGTTTTTGCACTGGTGATAAGTACCTCAATTGTGTCATCCTAGCCCCTGCCGTGCATCATATTCCCCGTGGGAGAAGATAATACATTACTAACAAGCAAAACATATAGGACATAAGATAGACTAAATGCTTTGGTAAAAACAAAACATGCCAGGGGAGGGCAAGGCATATGAAGTCAATAAATATTTGTTGAAAGAATGAATGAAAGACTTGTGAGCTCCCTGAACTTCTCTCCCCAAAGCCGGGAGGAAAATCAAAAGGAGAGAGGATAAATAACTCCCTTGTGAACAGATGCAAGACTCTCAAATCCTATGATTGTGCGTGTCAAGGATTCGAAGATTGAAGCCAGAGGGACTTGGAGCCAAGCCCTGCATTGCCAAGGGGCTTAACTTCTTAGAACCTCAGTTTCTCCATCTACGAAAGGAGACCAACCATATAGTGACCCGAGGTGAAGGGGGAAGGGTGGACGCAGGATGTGTTCCCAGGAGGCAGAGCAGGGACTGGCCTAGATCTGGTGCTCCACCTGGGAGAGACCCGGCCCCACGCCCCCTCCAAAGTCTCTGGTGCCTAGCGGCTTTGGTTTAAGGGCTGACTCTACCCCTTCCCTCAGCTGGGGAATCTGCCACCCAGCTACATCTAGCTCAAAAATGTCAGTCCCATCTGATCCCCACAGAGAGGTCCTCTGAGAGGGGAAGCTCTGGGATTCAGAACGTCGTAGGCAAAAAGGGCCCCAAATGAGCCCTGAGTCCAACCCCTGACGTTCTGGATAAGGGAGGACGGATGTCCAGGACGGTACCCCGAGGACGGTGCAAGGCGTGGGGGACAGGTGATACAGCCAGAGGTCCACGGGCCATGTCCCTGATAATAAAAGACTGAGAAAGTGACCACTAGTTGCCCATCTGGGCCTCTCAAGGCAAATCTAGATCTGCCTTGACTGCGAGGTGGAGCAGAAAGACTTGGATTCTCTGCCAGACCTCGCTGGGCCAGGACACGTGCCTCTCTGAGCCTCAGCCTCCTCATCTGTGAAATGGTACGCAGACACGACGCCGGGAGGACGCATACAGCAGGCGCTCAGTGAACAGAGCCCCCTGACCCCGGGCTCGTGCCCCCGACCGCCCGCGCCCTCACCTGGAGCCGCGCTAGGCGTGTCCTGGCTCCTCCCGCGCGGGGATGGGAGAGGCTGACAGCTCGGACGCGGGCCGGGAGTGGCCACTCCCAACGCGGCCCAGGACCCAGGCCCCGCGTGGGGGCCGCTAGGGGCCTCTTCGGAGGTGCCCTCCGCACCTGTGAAGAGCAGGTGGCCCTGACGGTCGGAAAGCCACCACCGGAGCGAAGGTCCCTGGGGCTCTGAGGAAGGGGAAATGAGCACGTTGCACCACCCCCCCAACGCCGGAATGGTTCGCCCCGGACTTCCTGATTGGCTCCTCGCTTCCGTTCGAACGCCGCGCCGCCCGGGTTGCCAGGCGACCGCTTAGCTGCGGCGGCCCGAAGGAAGCGCGCCACTCCGCGGCCCGGCTCGGCTCCTCCCAGCTGGCCCCACGTGCTTCCGGCCTCTGCTTCAGCCCCAGCACCTGGTTCTTTCCCTTCCTTCTCCCTCCCGCTTCCAGCGGGGACTTCCTCAGGGTCCCCAGCTGGAAGAGCACCAGAGCTCCCGAGCCGGTTCCTAGTCCTGCCTTTGATGCTAACTCACTATGTGACCCGGGGCAAGTCCCTTCCTCTCTCTGTTCCCCTAACTGCGTAATGATGAGTGAGTGAGTTTGCAAATGTGCATAACCGGCAATTCCGAAATTTACAAAGGAAATGACCAAAGATATGAGCAAAGATGAATATTGCCCAGCGTTATTCATCACAGCAAAATAATGGAAATGACTTTAATGCCTACAGAAAGGGGGTTGATTATGTAAGTCCATTCTGGGACAGCTAATTTAATTGCGTTTTTTATATGCCAGGTGGCTTTACACGACATAACTCTTGTCAGGGTTTATGACATAACCCTGTAAGACAGTACCTTTAATTATTTTTTTAAATTATTCCCACTTAATGATGAGGAATATTATGCTGCCATTAAGAATGATGTTATTAAAAGATATTTAAAGATATGGGGAAATGCTAAGGAAGTATTAAATTCTTTAAAGTACAGTATGTTTCAAAGCACTATGTACAGTACAAATATATGTTAAATTCATAACTGTAATAGCATATATATGCATATGTAATAATTTCTACTAACTGCAGTTACCTTCTTCTTTGTGTTTTTGTGGATTTTTCCAAATTTTCAACACTTGAATATATCAACAAAAAAAAACACATTTTTTGTGGGGATTAGAATAAATTAATTATAAGAGCCCTCCCAGGTAAGGAAATTTTATAGCTATCAGTCACTGTCTGGGTCTGCATTGCTCACTTTGGAGCCAGCATCTGTTTTCTATTCCAGCAAGTGTCTTTCATCTTTTGATTGGATTGTCAATAAGTGATCACTTGCTGTGTACATGCCTTGGACAGGCAGAGGGGAGGGCTAACAATATATCAATAGCTAGCAATGATTGTGCACTCTGGCTTGGACACCAACCAAATCAGAAGACACAGCTGTCATAAACAGGGAATCTGTCTGTATCTGTGAGGACTAGCTAAGTATCCCTGGCACTACCTGTGCCCTCTGCTAGATTGTGTTCAAGGGCTTACACACATTATCTCCTTTGACTTCATGACTGTCCGAGGAGAGAGATCCTATGATTATTTTTACATCTGAGAAAACTAAGGACTGTCTGAATCCATAGTGAGTCTTTTTAACTACTCTGTTAAATTCCCTTGTAAACATGGAGAACTGATTGGCAAGGGGAACCCTGTGATCCCATAAGACACAAGAGAAAACTGAGCAGGGCAGATCTGGGCTTTGTTCTTCCTGATGATTTATACAACTTCGGGGCACTTCTTTAAGAAAAGAAATGCTAAATTACAAATAAATTAAGTATTAAAGAGAATACTTGTGTAGAAAGAGACAAGAAACCCCAACAAATGACAAATTCCACAAGCATTAAAAAATCCAGAAAAATAACATTACTTTTATGAATTACCTGTTTGACCTACATCTGTAATACTTTTCATAAACCAGCTCTGGCTCCATGTATACATTCCAAACCTCTCCTCTGCTGCAATATCATTGTGGGATTGAGCACTGTAAGACCACTCACATATACTGATATATGACCTCTGACCCTGCACCTTCATGTCACCACGCCAAGTTGAGTCTGCTCAGTGTGCTCAATGAGGGTATTTCTGGAAGCCATTTCTATACCAGGACAGTTAGTAATAATGTAATTATTCACAAAAGTGACTGGAAATAATACAAATATGTCCCACTAAACCCAAACTAAATGTAAGGTCCCCTTAGGCAGATACCCAAACTATGCTCACCTACCCCAACATCAACTCACAAAAGAAGTTGGAGTAGGAGTTAGAGGTTTCAAGAGTGAGGTTAAAATGCCTTACTTTGGAAATTTTTACAGAAGCACATGACCATGTGAACACAGCACCCTGGTGCCTCCCAGACCTCGGCTTTCCCTGTCATTAAACGGGAATGACAACAATGGTGTTGTGTTGATCAGATTCTTCTCTGAGATGTGTAATTTAATCAGGAGTTGGGAGATACATGAGATGAAAGGATAAAGGCCCTGCTGACCCTGCATCCGCAGAGTTTGCCTCTGCCCTGCAAACCCTAGAGCTTAGAATAAACAAGACAAACCAAAACCCATCAGCCTCATTCCAAGATTAGGAAAGTGAGGCAAGCAGAGGACAGAAGGAACTTTGCCAGGATCCCAAATTCAGCCACATAAAGAGAAATCATTTGGGTACACTATGGGCATCTTCACATGCCAACAGCATATTGGTGATGTCCTCTATTTTCAAGAATTTATTAAGCACCTGGTACCAATTCAGAGCTATTCAAAGCATCTCAGTCTTTCCCTTCCCCCACCTTGAGCGTGGGGAGGGAGAGCCCATAAGAATACGAAGGTGGACAAACTGTCATTACCTGCACCCAGATCAGAGGGAGCTGGGCGATCCTTACGGCCTAATCCTGATCCAGCACACAGGCAGCAATAACATCTCGCCCTGTTGACAAGCCTGCGGTTCATTCGGCATGTGGGTTTTGCCTCCTCCAGAACCCTGACCTTGGCAGTGTTTTCTCCACTTAACTCGAAACCGAGATGAAATCAGCCTCGTACGTCAGCTCGCTGTCTCCTGTGCGCCTTGTGGCTCTATTTTCTTTGGTTTCATTTAATTTAAAGGGTGTTCTCTTTATTATATTTACTTACATCTGAACCTTTCTGGATTGACCCACTAGAAAAGCCCAATGATGGCTTGGGCTTGACCAAGGGACCAAGCAGGGAGGAAAGCTTTTTAGAAAATACTTTTTATATATTTTGGATTTTGTACTTTGTAAACGTATTATTTAAACTATTATTTAACTATTATTTAAACTATTATTTAAACTATTTTAAAAAATAAGTAACATATTCTATGAGAGAACACAATAAGGACGTGAATAAAAGAAAATTCAGCCTAAAAGATGTCCTTCCAAACACTGTGGGTGAGAAAGTAAATTGAGATGTCCTTTCTGGAGGACAATACAGGCACATTTCTAAAATAAATAATTGCTGTAGCAATGGGCCTGTACTCTAATCCAGCAACTGTGCTTTTGGAAATTGACCCTAACCAAATAATGAAGGAGATTTGGGAAGATTTAACAAGAATGTTTACTATAGCATTGCTACTAACACCAAAATAAAAAAGGGGGTGGGGGGGTTGGGACAAACACAAGTTAATTGCCTGGCCACAGGGCTATGGGAATGGCAGATGGAAGCATGGAATTCTCTCAGGGTCTCTCACAAGGTCTCATCGGAAGGCTGGGTGAGGATGGCTCACGTATGTGGCGGGCAAAACACCTATGTGTTTGTGCAGACACACACTGGGGGCCCCCTTCCCTCTCCACATACCCTCCTCCAAGGGCGGCTTGACATAGCAGCATAGTGTCCTCATGCCATAGCACCGGCTTCCCTCAGAACCGGCAGTCCCCGAGATCACAGTAGACGTTGTGATGGATTTTATGGCCCAGCCTCTGAAGCCACCCACCATCACTTCTGACACATTCTATCGGCTGAGCACGTGGGGTTTGCAACTCAGACATATCTTGGAGATATTGCAGGTTCAGCTCCAGATCGCTACAAACAAGTGAGTATCACCAGAAAGCAAGTCACACAATCTTGTTGGTTTCCCAGTACATATAAAAGTTATGCTTGCCCTATACTGTACTCTGTTACATGTGCAATAGCATTATGTCTAAAAAAAGTGCAGGCCTTAATTAAAAAAACTTTATTGCTAAAAAAAACAAAAACACTTTATTGTTAAAAAATGCTCACACAGGGACATGAAATGAGCACATGCTGTTGGAAAAATGGCACCAGTAGATCTGCTGGATGAAGACAAAGACACAGTATCTGTGAGGCACAATAAATCAAAGTATGCCTGTATATCGGTGTGGCCATCCTGGGGAACTGCACTCTGCCACCCCAGGAATAGCCAGGGCCGAGGACAGCTGAGCTGGCAGGGCAACTGCACAGACAAGGCAACAGGGCGGGTGGGGAGAAGTGCAGCAGCCAGCGAAAACATTTGCAGTCACTGGCTAATTCCTTCATCTTTTCTAAGCCTCAGTTTTCTCTCCTGGAAAATGGGAGTTAATGATGCCTGCTTCCCAGGCCTGTGAGAGGCGCAGATGGCGCCTGTGGACCACCCAGCACCCTAACTGGCCTTCCGCATCCCGTGGCTGCTGTTTCTGCTGCTGTTCTGAGGTGGTTGCTTCATCAGTGTGAGCTAGTGAGGCAGTGTGTCCTGAGGTATCACCACCTGTCCAAAACCATTAAGGGCTCCCCAGCGTGCTCTGAAGATCATGGCCTTTGGGAGCTGATCCTTGTCAACTTCATCTGCTGCCACCCTCCCCTTCAGCCCACCTGGCTCCAGCCACTGGCCTTCATATTGCTTTCCAAATACACCAAACCACCTCAGGCCTCAGGGCCTTTGCGCTTGCTGTTCCCTCTGTCTGGGCCTCTCTTCCCCCGGACAGCCACACAGCTACTCTCTTACCTCCTTGAGTCTCTGTTCAAATGTCACCCCCTCTGGAGGACCCCTCCCCAGTCCACCCATCGTTCTCGTTGTCTCTCTGCACAGTGCTCCAACCTCCTGACACGTGGCGTGTTCCAGGCGTACGTGCTGGCTGTCTCCTCCACCGAGCGTGAGTGCCCGGAACGCAGGGTCCACACTTCTCTTGCCCACTTGTCCTGAAATTAGAAGTTTGCCATGCACATCACAGTATTAAAGGCTCTGAGAAGTACTGAAGCAGAAGCAC